TTTTTAACGGTTTAATTTCAGGTTTAATTTATATGATTTACATACAAGATCTTACTGTATATGATGCTCAGGGAATGTTTCCGTGTGTACAATTCAATTCAGCATACAAGGGGGAAAGAAAAGAGCTTTAACGTTGTAACTCATATAAAACCAGGAGAGCAAATCATGTTTAACCACAAAATATAACTTAACATTTCTACCTAATAGAACCTGTCCTAGAGTAATTCCTTTCATCTCTTTCTCACAGCAAAATATTAAACTCTGAATCTAGAGAATTTTTCTCTTTACATAAATATATATCACCAACTAACTTCAACAACTAACTTCTCATAGCCAAGTGCCAATTATCAAATGTGTCTACTCAGAATTTTCCTTTCCTAGCAAGGGGACAGAATTTTAATTTGATAGAAGTCTTCATCCAGTTACAATATCAACAATATTTATCACACAAAAGTATTTTTGTAATGATGTACAAAGAGTATGTATGATAGATTACTGGGTATGTATAAGTGTTTAGATCTCATTGATCAAGTTCATCTCTAAATTTTCAGTTTCTGGGTTTTCTCTGACACTGATTCCAGGATTAGGCAAAAGAGAAGATTCAAAATCCACTTCCACATTCAAGATACACAAACTATTTTAAGCATTATTAGCCACATTCCCAATATTGTTCCCAGGTGAACAATATTCATAAAGTCCTGCTTGAACAAATACGTTATCCAATACTGCCAGAATGAGAGTCTGCAAGGGTGGTTTCTTCCCTGAGATTTCAAGAGATGGTAGGACAGAGCAATGGTGGGATTCAAATAATTTAACAACTGGTTCTCTGCTCTAATGAATTCTTCCAACAACCATTTTACCAAACTGGTCAGAAAGCTAACAACCGGTTCTCCAGAAGTGGTGCAAACTGGCTGAATTTTACCACTGGGACAGAGCTAGCTGCATCATTCTTAAGGCAGGGAGAGTGCTATTTTTTTTTTCACCTAGGGACTGCATATTTATTATGATTTATTTAGCCTCTAGGGGAGTCTAGAAGGCTGTGTATGGGTGTATGGGTATTTATGTGTAGTGCATGTTTTAAAAGGAAAAATTACAAAATTGAACATCAACAATTTGTGCCAAATCTCAGCAGTATGATCCTTGGTAATTCCATATGGGGAATACATAATAGATCTGAAGAGGTCAGCTGCATTTCTCAGACCATTACTACAAGTATCCTAACAATAAGATATGTCTTTTTAAACAATATCTTCAATTGTCTAATTATTGCACTATATTATACAGAATTTGCTTCCACTGACCTGGTTATGTTTTCATAAACAAATTCAAGAACAGCTAGCCATGACTTTTAATTGTTTTACAATCTTAATCCTGAACTGGAGAGAAGCAGAAGAAAGAACTTTCCTTCCAGCAAATTTTCTGCATCTGGCTTTTTTCTTTTAAGGATTTGCTTATAATACATACATGCATGCATGCATGCATGCACACCCACCCACACCCAGGTATGTGAATAAAACAGAGAGTAAATATGCATTTGAAAATATAACTTCTTTTACCAAGTCAAAGCATACAACAAAAATACTAGATATTATCGGTATTAGAAAAGTGAAATAGACTGTATTTCTTAAGTCATGATCAACTGTAGTTTTGCTGCAAATATAAACATTACAACTTTGAATAGATGATCCAAATATTCATATATTTTTAAAAATCAGTTTATCTGCAGGACTGGCCATGGTATGTGTTTAATGGCTGCTCTTTTATTTAAAGAGGTGCATTTGGAATTCATTAGAAGTTCCGACTCTTGATATAACACTAGGTTACAGATTGAAAGTAAAGCTCTTCCATTGCAAAATAATAAATTCATCCAAAGAAGTTCCACAGACCATTAGATATTCATATGCGATAATAAACACTGTGATAATAAAACACTTTTGAAAAGATAATTCGAATATATTATTTATTACTAGCTGAAGCCATTTTGGGAGTATCTTCAGGACTGCTACAGCAAGGCCAGGTGGAGCTGTGGGATTGTAAGGTGGGGTGGAGATAGCTGGGGGAATGCGTAGCCAAATAACATGATTTCTTGTGGAAGCAAGGACGTTCTACCAGGTGTTGGAAGGGCATGGACGAAAGCCAGCTGGAGTTGGAACTATGACTTGATTGGATCTTTGATGGACATATGAACTGGAGGGCAGGGACTATGAACTTTGATTTGGGAGAGAAAACCCTGGATCCTTCAGAGTCGGATTTTCACCAGCTCTGCCAATATGATATCCCAAATAAAATTATTATTTGAGAAAATTCTAGGCCTCAGAGTTTTGATTACTTTGAGGTTATTACTTGGAACCCTGACACTAGCATTACCTCAAAGTAATGTGTGAACTATGTTTGTAAAATATGGATAAAGCATTAAACAGGCAGAAATTCTCCAGAAATCAAGTGTCTGATCTTTCCACTAATCTAATCCAAAATGGCTGTAGAAGGCACTATCCAGTAATTAGAGGAGATAAAATATGACCATAGTAGATTCATACTGAAGCTTCATACTTGGGTCCAGCCTACTATAGTATGGTAGACACCTGCTTCTTTGGATTTGGTGCTTAGTGCCTATTCGTGTTGCTATGAACAGTGCCTCAATGATATCTTTTAATCCAACTGATTTCCAGGCACTGGTAGGATTTCCCAATGTCTGCCACCTCAGTTATCTGTCAATGTTACATCCCATGTCTTGCTATGGCACTGTTTGATCTTCATCTCATGTCCACTGCTTCTTTAGACATTCTCTCAGCACCACATCTTTGAGTGCCATCTTACTGATATACTCCTGGATGTTCTGGGTTTCATCAAGGGCAGTGGTTTTGACAATCACCAGACACCACCGTACCTCTTTTTGACTGGTGTACAGTCTCTGGGAATTTGGGGTGGAAATCTCCATACATTGTGAAGAACTTCTGGGTCTTCACATCAGCAGCTTCCTTGTCCTGCTTTGACCAGCAGGATATCTTAAGACTGGCAGGAAATACATGTTAATGGCATGGATTTTGTTCTTCCCGCTGAGCTAACTTATCTTTGGTGGTACTTCATGTTGCTGTCTTCCTTGCCTCCCCACTGTGGTTCCCATATGACTGTGGGATCTGTATTGATATGTAGCCCACTGGTAGTTCTACCTCATCAGTCTTAACTACTTTCTCACCTTTGTCTATGATCTTCACCAAATTTCTGCAGTATGTCCTCACTGTAGATTTGTGTCAAGTAGATCAGCAAGTTCGTTCTTAGCATAAAAGTTGATTTTATCCATTTAGAGGGGAGAGCTGGTGGTAGTTCAACTCTTGAACTTGTACCCATATCCAGTTCTTGTGAATATCTGGCTGAGGAAGTTAAAGTCTTTGCAGAACAGCAGAGAGAACAGTGCACCGTCTTGGTATACATTGCACTTGATGGCCACTTGTGTGAGCTGCCTTGAGTTGACTTCCAGTGCTATCTTCCAATGTCCCATTGAGTTCTTGAGGAAGGTCCTTAGTATCCTGATCACTTTGTATAGTGCAGGTATTCAGAGATCTATGTGAGTGGCACTGAGTTGTAGGTTTTCCTGTAGTCAATCCAGGCTGTCAGATTGGTCTGTCTAGACCTTGAATCTTGAGTGACTGATCTATCTATGAGCAAAAGATATTTTGAGCTTTTGTTGTTCCCAGTGATCTTCTGAATTGTACTCATGTATTGCTCCAGAAACACACATACACACGTACCCACAGGTCAGGAAATAAGGAAACACAGTTTGGATAACTACCACTTTGAATACTGAGCACCTGAAGTGTGTGGTATGCTAATCTTTAAACTTGTCATTTTTTTTTTACCTCTTGTCATTTTTCACTCCAATTTGATATCAGATTTTAAAATCAAAATGCTTAGAAATGTAAGAGAATTGCTTTTGACTTTAACCAAGAATGTGGCTACTCAAAAATAAAACTAAAAACAATGATCTTTTCATAATTATGATCATTTCTACAGTTCTGTAATTAAGAAAGCATGTATTTATACAAACCTACTTGCACACATTGAGCACCACCCAATTATCAGCATCTCTCTCAGCACTTGCCAAGAATTAGTCTTAAAGCATATAGGTCGGTCCAATTAGCAGAAAGAAAATTGTTGGATGCTACATGAAAGCAGTATTTTTTTTCATCCAGGATCTACCTCTTCCATTTTTGCTTTAAGTTTTAGGACAACATATAGCTCCATGCAAAATACATTACATAAATAAATTGCCCACAACAGTATTGAAAAAAATAACAGGGAAAATAATTTAATTTGGATCTTCTCCTTCCTTTCTTCAACCATCAACTTTAATCAAGTATGTGAAGTTCCCTTTTAAAGTACTTTTGTAAGTGGACCTTTACACTAAGAAGGAAGCAAAACCCATAATGGTGCATGCACACCATCCTGAGAGATCACGGTATCTTTGTCCTAATGTCTGGATATATTTGGAAAGTTCCTGATTAATTCTGAATGTTTTGATCTCTGTCAGTGGAGAAATCATTCATTCTCCAGCACTCATCAGTATTTGGTATATAAAGCTGGTCAGGTATATTTGGTGAATATTAATGGCTGCAGTTCATTGTCAGATTTAAGCATCATGACTGCCATTGTGTTTGCCAGGAAGATACAAGTATTTTGCAAATTGAAAAGGACATTATCACAGCCACTGTATCTACCCTAGCCGAAAATACCCCCCAAACCAAAAATATCTCTTTCAAAACAATGCTGCTTACTTTTCACTATATATTAAATGAAATCCCCCAATATCCCTTATATACTTTATTTGATGGATCCATTTCAACTGTATTATCTGTTTATTTCAACCTATGATTTTACACTGATGATTTTTTATTTGTGGACTTCTTTTCATATTTGATTTTGCAAGAACTGCCTGATAACTGGGTGAAAAATAAAGACATAAACAAATAGTGTAAGGAAAGAAAGGCGGGGGGGAATCTCACCTCTTGTGAGGTTTCGGTTGATGGTCTCCTGAGACATACTGTGCAGCCGCTTCATGTAATCTTCACTATACCAGACCCTCAGCCTCTCCCCTGGCCGGATGTCCCGACAAGTCCGGAAAAAAATCCTCTCGCTGTGCTGAAATGCCATTAGGTTTTGCTCTCTCTCCTCTCGAGATATGGCCACATACCTAAGGACAAGGATGAGGCAGGTTTTGACTTATAAACAGGCTGAGTAGAACATTAAAGCACAATTGTAGCAGGAGTGACCTTCAAAGACAGCCACAGAAACAGAAGCATTGGATGGAATGAATAATGAGATGTGAAGAAACAGAACTGTAAGAAAATAATAGGCACCTTAAGGAATATTAAATAACTTCCTGAGATTAATATAGGCTCTATGTCTCCTGTTCAGGAAAATATCTAATTGCTAAACATTACTACTTTCCAAATTTCTCTGTCTATTATTATTACCAATTAAAGATTGTTAAAATAAGGGTATGTTTCAGGATTTGTAAGACAATCCCAGTTACGATTTAACTAAAATTAGTTATGTTTGTTGCAGACTTGATTTTACATCTGTGTTGTAGAACCAGCAAGTTAGAATTAGAAGAACTGCAGCTGTATAATATTCAGTGAGAATAAGAATAGTCCATTTTAATAGCAAAAAGATAATTAATCCATATCAGCAACATGACCTTTTACATCCAATATATTAGTTACATAATGACAAATATTCTAATATGTTCATCAAACCCATATTAGAGAATTTATTTTGTAATCCAATGCAGTATTGAAAATGTGCAATTAAATGATACTGATTCCCATTTAAGACCAGACATACTATAGAAATATTTGCACAACTATCTGTACAAAGTCACCTAATACAAATCTATTGTTTACTTCTTCAGTACATTATATGATTTATTATATAACATATATACAGCTCACACATTTCAGTATATTTCCACTATATTTTTATTGATATTGACACCTAGTGACCATTGAAATACTAATTACTAAGTTCCACAGGTGGGTCTTTACAAACTTAGAGATACTGTACTACAAAATAAGCAAATAATAGACTCACTCCTAATTTAGATTCACTCCTAATAATAGACTCACTCCTAATCATCATAGATTCCTAGATGACAGCAAAAACAGATGCCAGGAAGATGGCTTTCACTCCAGCTAGTATAAAGTCTCTTTTCAGATGGTCCAAGTTTTTGTGGCTTTTTACTATTAAAAATAAAATTCTTAGGCAGATTGGCAGATACTCAGGAATGTCTTCAAGAAATCAAACTATTCTTTCACCCAAATACTTTGTGCTTCCTTTTAATTCACTACCACCTGATTGAAAATGTTCCAAAACTTTTAAGAAATAAAATCATGGTACATTATAGTTCATAGTTTGAATTAATGATTTTGTAATAGTTCTTTTTTTTTAAAGCTTCATCAATCCTTCCTTTACTCAAGAATGGTACTGTATTGGACTTACCATGAGGTATCCTTCCAGTCACCAATAATGGACCCAATATAATAATGACTTTACATCTCCACATCTTCCTCTATTTTGGAACAATCTCTTCAAGCAGAGGAACTGACTTTACTTACTATATTACCAGGGGCAACCATACTGGACTTAATTCTTACAAACAGAGAAGAAGTGATAGAGGGAGTTGAAACTGTAGGAACCTTGGGTGAGAGTGACCATGTCATACTAGAATTCGACATAACACAAACACAAGCAATAGAACATAACGACACCAGGGTCTTGGATTTTAAAAGAGCTGATTTCAATAAACTCAAAGAGAACTTGGGAAAAATTCCCTGGATGAAAATCCTAAAGGGGAAAACAACTCAAGAATCTTGGGAAACTCTAAAAAGTATGATCATAGAAGCCCAGACCAGCACAATACCACTGAGAAAGAAAAACAAGAAATCCAAGAAGAAACCAACATAGCTGCACAAAGATCTCTCTGGCAAACTGAAAGAAAAAAAGGACAAGTACAAAAAATGGAAAGAAGGACATACAACTAAGGCAGAATATCAGCAGATAGCCAGAATCTGCAAAGACGAAGTCAGGATAGCAAAGGCTCAGAACGAACAAAGACTTGCAACAAAAGTCAAATATAAGAAAAAAAGTTTCTCCCAACATATAAATAACAAGAAAAAAATCAAGGAAACAGTCACTCCACTAAAGAGAGAAGATGGCAAGGAAGTAACAGGCAACAGAGAGAAAGCAGAACTGCTTAACTAATTCTTTGCATCCATCTTCACACAAAAAGAAATTATAGCTCAACCCACCAAAACATAACTGTAAAAGACAGACCAGAAATAAAAGTTAAAATAAACAAAAAAAAAAATAGTAAGAGAACACCTGTCTGATCTTGATGAAAACAAATCACCGGGGCCTGATGGATTATAACCCAGAGTTTTAAAGGAGCTGGCAGAGGTCATCTCAGAACCACTGCACCATATCTTTCAAAAATATAGCACCGGGGAACTACCAGAGGACTGGAAAAGAGCTAATGTGGTTCCCATCTTCAAAAAGGGGAAAAAAACAGACCCATGAAACTATAGACCAATCAGCCTAACATCAATACCCGGGAAGATACTGGAAAAGATAATAAAAAAAACAGATTTGCCAACATCTAGAAACAAGTAAAGTAATAACTAGCAGTCAGCATGGCTTTGTTAAAACCAGATCATGCCAAACTAACCTTATTTCATTCTTCAACACAGTGACTAAATTAGTAGACCAGCCAAATACTGTGGACATAATATATTTAGATTTCAGCAAGGCATTCAACAAAGTAAACCACAACCTACTTCTCAGTAAGCTAGAAAAAAGTGGAATAGATAGCACCACCTCTAGGTGGACTCGCAACTGGCTGGCAAACTGTACTCAACGAGTAGTCCTTAATGAGTCTAAGTCTACATGGAGGGAAGTAAGCAGTGGGATGCCACAAGGTTCTTCAATATCTTCATTAATGACTTAGATGAGGGAATAGAAGGGGAACTTACCAAATTTGCAGATGATACTAAGCCGGCAGGAATAGCTAACACCCAAGAAGATAGGCTCAAGATCCAGACTAGAACACTGGGCCATATCTAACAAAATGAAATTCAATGTAGAGAAAAGTAAAGTCCTACACTTAGACAAGAAAAACCGAAAGTACACATACAGACTGGGTGAAACCAGGTTCAATAGCAGTAACTGTGAGAGGGATCTTGGAGTCTTAGTGGACAACCAGCTAAATATGAGCCAGCAGTGTGCAGCAGCAGCCAAAAAAGCTAATGTAATCCTAAATTGTATTAACAGAGGGATACTATCAAGATCAAAGGAAGTACTAATACCACTCTATAGTAAGACCACACCAAGACTACTGCGTCCAGTTTTGTTCACCACATTATAAAAAAGATGTTGAGACTCTAGAAAAAGTACAAAGAACAGCAACCAGGATGATTAGGGGACTGGAGGCTAAAACATACAACAAATGGTTTCAGGAACTGGGCTTGACTAATCTAGTAAAGAGTCTACTAAAGAGAAGGACCAGGGGAGACATGATAGCAGTCTTCCAATATTTGAGGGGCTGCCACAGGGAGGAAGGGGTCAAGCTATTTTCTAAAGTGCCTGTAGGCCAGACAAGGAATAATGGATGGAAACTGAACAAGGAGAGATTTAACCTGGAAATAAGGAGAAACTTTCTGACAGTGAGAACAATCAACCAATGGAACAGCTTGCCCTCAGAAGTTGTGGGAGCGCCATCAGTTGAGACTTTCAAGAAGAGATTGGACTGCCATTTGTCAGAAATGGTGTAGGGTCTCCCGCTTGGGCGGGGAGTTGGACTAGATGACCTACAACATCCCTTCCAACTCTATCTATTAAATCTGTTAAATACTCTTGGACAAAAAAAACCCCACTTTTTTTTCTGGCCAATATGCTTCTGGAGTTGCGCTAACCAGCCCCAGAATGTGCAGATCAGGGTATTTGATTCAGGAGAAAAGCACTATGTTCCATTGCTGAAATGCCTCATTTTGGCTATTCCTATTTGTACTTGCAATCAACAAACTGAAACTACTGATAGTAGAATAGAAACAACAAAAATTTACATAAAGAGATGCATAACTAAATAGCCTAAATATATCTGGTAAATAAGATACTAACTTCTTCTCCAATTCTATCATCTGGTTGACTAGGAAGTTATCATGTGGGACATTCAAGCATCTTGGCCATTGGAATGATGGGACTCATACAAAAATGTATGCCCTACAGTGTGGGCTTGGTAAACTTTCTGCAGAGTTGTATAATCAAAGACAGGGACATCTATGTTGTAAATCCAGATTAAAGTGGAAAAGTTGGTCCAAATAACTGCATTACTATGTCAGAGACAATTCTGCTTCCAAGGCAATTAGTACTGCTTCCTTTCAAAATTGAACAGACCATCATCTTTTGGAAAATCTATTTGCTTTTTGTTGAATATATTAAAGTTGTATTTCCTAGTTGAATGGTTAAGAGTGAAGAAGGCAACTGTTGAGGTATTCCCCATTAGGAGAATGGGTGCACTCAGGGAAACGTAGTGAGAGTGGTGAGGAATAACACACAACCAGCATACCGATACACTGAGTAGTAAAATGTAGGTTTTACTTCCAGTAAATGGGTAAACAAAGTCCAACAAACAATCCAAATCATACACGGTTAAAGCAGATAGTATTCAATACAATCAGACCAGGGATAATCCAAAAACTAAGTCCAGTATCATAAACAAAGTTCAGTAAACGGAATTTGCTAACAGTTTGCAAGACACAGCAATCCAAGCAGAACGACAATCAGGCAAAAGGCAATAGGAAAAATGCAAGAAGAGAGCAAACCAGGTTTCTGGCTCCATCTTATGGCCATCGGAGGAACTTCAGCCAATCACAATTACAGCACTCTCTTAAAGATACAACAGTATTAAATAATTATCATGGTTTATATATTGCCAACCCAACTGTTAAGTGACTATCATTCCTAACAGAAACCCTCTTTCCTTCATTCCCCACTTTACAGGATATAAATGGGTTCTCTGACAAAATTCTAATTCAGTTTAAGTAAAATCTAAGTGTGCCGAATATGTCCAGCTGTGCCTAGTATACTCCCTGCATGTGATTAGTATGGGTAAAAGTATGGTCAAATGTTTTGTAGTGA